CATTCATCCTCAAAAATACAACTTGCCTAATAATTGTACATGCAGTGTTAGTCATAAAATGATTAAGTTGGTGAGGCTTTTGCCAGTCAAATACTCATAAAGGCTGCACAGCAATTTAAGGCATGTTATAAATCCCTCAACTCCCAAACTGCTCAACCCACAATTGACCACAAGAAACTAAATTCCTGCAGCCTCCTTGTGAGGAGCAACGCTGATAGAACACAAGTGAGTAATCCCCCAATTTCTCCTTCCTCCAGAGAAATTTCTGTCAGCTGAAACCATCTTCTGGCTGGCAATTTCACCGCTGTGCTGTCTCCGCTTGCAGAGCCAACTCACAGAGATGTCTAACTGGCCATAACACCTCACCCCAAAGCACTTCAAATGTATGTTGGAAATGTGAACAGCATGAAGGGACATTTTATCATGCTTGCTGGACATGTAAAAAAGCTAAAAAAAAAATGGATTCAAATACACACTTTTATGCAGAGGATTTTAAAGTTCAATATTCAATTGAAGATGCAACTTTTCCTTTTAGGATTTATGGATAAATGGTTAGAAAAAAAGCCATGAAGATTATTTCAGCATATGATTACTGCGGCAAGATTACTATATGCACAGAGATGGAAAGATTCGATACTACCCACTATGGAGGAATGATTAGTGAAATTGACAGATTTTGCTGAAATGGATAAATTGACTTCTTTGATTAGAAAAAAGACACTATCTACATTTATTGGTGACTGGAAGCCTCTTAGAGACTTTTTGTGTAAAAATGAAAATAATGAACTTGTGATTTAGGGTTCTGATGATTAAACAAAATAGATTATAGAAAGAAGAGTAATATGATGTAACTTTAGAGAGAGAGTTTAAAGTACATTTGTACTTATAACTGCTGTGAAGAATATTGGAAGCGACTTTTTTCTTTCTTTTCTATTTTTCTTCAATTTTTTTCTCTTCTTGCATTTTTTGCTTTTTCTTTGATTTCTTTCTTTTTTCTTCCTTTATATTAATTTCTGTTTTTATCTTCTTGTTTAAAAGTTTTAATAAAATTATTAATATAATATAATATGATATAATATAATATAAATGTAAGATACCAACTGGGGGATTTCCTACATCACATTAATGCACATCTTTGTTACAAGAATGGCACTCCCAACTTCATTTACCTGCCTTATAGAATAGCATTTCCAAGTGAATTACTTCTGCATAGAAGGAAGATATATTCCTATAGTGACACAAACACACCTGTGCTTTTTATAGCATGTCCACAAAATTATTTTCTTACAACAGAGCTTCCCAAACTCCCTCAGTTCACGGCACTCTTAGTGTCTCAGTAATTTTTTCACGGCAATCTGCAGTTCCCAAACTGTGTGCAGCTGCAGCCCAGGCAGTTTGGGAACCGCAGGCTTAACAGAAACAGTGAACTCACAGGGGCGCTGTGGGATAGTTTAAATTTTTGAGGGAAATGCAGCGATACTAGGCTAGTATTTCATGTAGTGTCCAACAGATGTTGAGTATTTCTGTGTTTCCCTCAAAAATTTAAAATATTTTGCAGCAGCAACTGGAGGGTGCCATGGCACACAGTTTGGGAACTGCAGCCATTCATTCATTCATTCATTCATTATTAAATTTGTATGCCACCCATATACATGTTCCTTTTTTCTCTATAATCATGTAATGGACATTTAGACAGCTTTAACAGGAGACTAGACACCATGTAGGAAGAATAAGTCTGTTCATGGTTACTAGAAATCCATGTACATCCATGTCTAGCTAGGACCACTTGCTAGAGGATAGCAGCAAGGAAGAACTATTGTCCTCATGTCCTGATGGCAGACTTATTCCATCTGGTTGGTCATTATGAGAAACAAGATGCTAGATGAAGCAAGCTTTTAATCTACTCATCTACTAATCTACTAATATGGCTGCAATTATATGATTGCATACTAGATCCCTAGTGTCTTCATGACACCTCCATGTATTTTTCTTGGCAACAGTACAAAAGTGGTTTTCTATTGCCTTCTTCCACAATATCTAGTTTACAGCTTGGGATTTCCTAGTAGTCTCTCATCCAAGTACTAACTAGACCTGCTCTACCTAGCTTTTTCAAAGGTCAATCAGAAAGAAGTTCACTCTCAACATCTCTCAATGAAGTATTCTGCAATAGTTTTATTATGGTAAAATAACAGATTTGGTATTATTGTTATTATTATTGTTATTCCATCTGCTTTGTGAGGATAATCCCCCACAGCATATGTTATGTATAATTTTTATTTATTTATTGTTATATTGCAGTCACCTGCTCCAATCTGAAGCTTCTGGGTGGCATAAAACAAGTATAAAATCCAGAACGATCCTAACAGATATGTGCCCCCCAAATCAACCAAAATACAGCAGAATAAAAGCGGTTTAGTAGTTTTATGGGATGCCAAGAGAGAGGGTGCTTCATGGACCTCAGCAGGAATAAAATTAAACAACACAGAAACAACTACACAAAAGATCTGCCCAGGCCCTATGGACTTTGCATGGGGCAGGGACTCCCAGCAGACCTCATGAAATGATATTACTGGATGGACAAATTCAAATTTAGTAAGAGATGCCTAATGTATCCCAAAGCCATACCATACAAGGCTTAGTACGTGATTACTAGTATTTTGAATTGGGCCTGAAAGCATACTAGTAACTAGCGCAATGACTTCAAAATGGTTGTCCTGCAATGGCTGGATTGATCCATCCACAGTATTGCCATCACATTCTGGACCAGTTGCAGCTTTCAGATTGTCTCCAAAAGCTGCCTCACATATAGCGCATTACAGTAGCCCTACTGTGCAATGATCAAGGTATGAGTTTCCATTGCCAGGGCATCTTTGTCAAGATAGGATCATAACTGATGGATCAGCCAAAGCTGGGCAAAAGCTCCTTTGGCCACTGCTTACCCTGCTTACCCAAAGGAACTTCTGTTTATACTGGCTCGGCCATTTCAAATTGCCAACCTTACTAAGGGTGGCTATGTCTTTCTGTACTTCTATGTCCAAGATTCCTTGAGCAGCTCTCTTTTGGACTTGTTCTCCAGTTGCACAAGAGACAGGAAGCCCACAGCTTCTTATATAATTTGTCAATTGTATAATTCAGGAGGTCTGTAATTGGGATTTTATCTGCTCTAGTAAACACAACTTTTGAAGTCTGTCAGTCTCCATTTCATTAATTTTACACCATATGCTCTGATTTTAGCCAGTGAATCGATTGTATAAATACCCAGTTCGGCTCTAACTGCAGCAGCAGAGTCCTTTTGTCTACACCCAAAATACTTCTTAGGTGCTGGGACTGTGTTTGTTCTAACAGTGAAGTAGAATTTAAGCCCCAAACTTCCGCTCCATATAAGAGCACAGGAGTAACCTTAGCTTTATATACTTTGATTATTGAGGCTAGGGAACCTGGATAACTATGATTTTTTAATTTAAGCAGTAGATTTAAACGTGCCTTTGCTCCGAGTGAGCTCCGTTGACGATGACAAACCCAAGACCCAGTCTCAGAGAAAGATCCCCCCCCTCCGCCCCGCAGTCCATTTTGAAGGAAGAGACTGACAGAGGAACGGGAAAATCGTAAGCCAGGGCGATGGGAAGGTCCAGCAGAGGAAGTCAGTTGGTCGGAACTAGCTTCCTACCCTCCTGGTCCTCCCTGAAAGGAAAAAAGACCGCGAGTCTCGCCCTCAATCTCCCGGCCGCGAAAAGAGGGAAGGTCTCTCAGAGACGGGGCACTACCAGGGAAGGAGAAGACGAGACTACTTTTCTCACCGGAATCCAGCTGGCAACCGGCACATTAGACGAAGTCCAGCCCAGCCCGGTGAGCGGAGTGATCATGCCAGCTCTAGGACGGTTCAACCGTCTTCAGATTCAGGAAGCCGTTAAAATACGAAATAAAACGTACGCGAGGATGACCGTCCGCAATCTCGAGGCGAACAGAACGAAAGGGAGGAAAACCTCCAGGTACCTATGAGCATTTCGGCCCGCCCCGAGAACAGACGTTAGCGTTCTTGCTTCTAATGGGACCTACTCTGATTGGCCGGCCTCTCTTGCACGAGCATCCAATTAAAAGTTCGCGCTTGCTTGCTTGCTATCGTCAGAATACCGGAATAACGCTATGCGCACGCGCTGCGTAAGATCGCGGTGCCTTTTTTTTCCTGCTACGTTGCTTTTTACAATTTCTCCCTTGAATTAGGAAGGTTCATCAAAGGGGCGTCTTGAGGAAAAGAATGAAAGCACAAATTCGGGACCGAGATCTGTAATGTTACTAAGCTGTCGAATG